ACACCTCAGCTTATGGCATATTACCATTCAAATGAAACGTTTCCAGCAGAATATGACGCTCTAAAAAAACTCCATCAGCACTGGTAACTATGAAAAACACGACTGAACACTAATGGTATACTCAACACTTTACACTGACATTTGAAGGATCACCTGACGTTAAAGACTGAAGTAAGAACGCTGGAGGAACATCAAATTTTAACACGGAAGAGTTTTTTTTAATCCCAAATTAAAGCAATATTTCTTAATCTTGTTGTTTTTTTTACTGTACAGTTGCCCCAGGTTTGGATCAGGTGTGATGCCTGCTCATCTGACCTTTGACCTCGGCACTCAACTGCTGCCAGTTTTCTTTCAATGCCATGAGATTTCTGAATTCTACATGCAGGAACCGATGCATTCTTTTTTTATTTTTATTTCTTTAAACAAAACAGATATGGCAGACACGGCCAAACATCGAAACTTTGGAGGACGTCTAGGAAAAAAAGCACCATATCATCAAGGGGAATAAAAGGTTTGATCAAAGCGTGCATTTACACACATTCATTTAAATATGGACAAAACCAACATTGGGTTATTTTTGTTATTAGATTTAAAACACGTGGACCCTATTTGACCCAGTGTTTATATATACATATTTTTATGAATTAATATTTTTGCATATAAAAGATAATAAAAGACTGACTAGACAGATTAGATAGAATAATAGACAGATTGACACGTGTAGTCATTCGTTCTTGTGTATTTGATGACTAGCTTCCAGTAGTATCTGGCTGCAGACTTGCATGCAATCTGAGACACAATGCACTCAATGGAGCTAGTGAGGTCACTGTCAGAGGCGGGGTTAGGGGTGCACACTCACTGACAGCCTAGATTTTAGCCTCGTTTTAACCAAGCCGTCTGTTAGACTTTTAACCCTTATGTATTGTTCAAGTGGCTGTTTTTGCCCCCAATGACCTCCATTATAACTAAACTTGTTTTAATTGCAAAGCCATGACACCAGATAGTAACTCATTCTTTATTGTTGGTGGTTTCCCTGTTGGGATGAGATAAAACTAGTCATTTTTACTTTTGATCGTCAGTTGGCACCTTTAAACAACCCCAAAAAAAATGCTTGCTGGGATGGTACCACGAGGCTGTGCTCATTTCTGGACAGAGGGGGTGTAGACTTGCAGCTAGTGCCGGTAAGAGGTGCAGACGCTGAGGCTGTTCTGTATGCGAGTGTTGATGTTTTGAAACATCAGCTGACAACGTGTAGGTAGAGAGTAGCAGGTTCTGGGAGTAGATGAGCATGTCACCGGTGTAGACTTTGACCAACTTGGGAAGTCACTCACAAGACCTCAGCATATGGGACATTACCATTAAAATGAAACGTTTCCAGCAGAATATGACGCTTTAAAAAAAAAACTCCATCAGCACTGGTAACTATGAAAAACACGACTGAGCACTAATAGTATACTCAACACTTTACACTGACATTTGAAGGATCACCTGACATTAAAGACTGAAGTAAGAACGCTGAAAAAAACATCTGATTTTAGCACAGAAGAGGTTTTCTTTTCCTGAATTAAAGCAAAACTTCATAATATTGTGTTAATGAATTAATTAGTGTGTGTTGCACTGCTGGAGTGAAGGTTAACCAGTCCACACAGTTCATGCAGCTATAATCTTTATTATCTTTTACTAAGAAACTATGTACAATATTTACACGTTGGCTCCAGGTCTCTTGGATGAAGATCTCTCAGCGACGTGGTCTCTTCTGGTCGCCGTGCGTCTCTGGTGGAGATGGGGAGCGGGACCGTTTCCCTCCGGCGTCCCGGACCGAAGATGCCGCACCTGCTGAGGACGAGGAGGGCAAAGGCTCGGTCTGGCAGGAGAAGGACGGCCTCTTTCTCTTCTCAGCAGCATAGGCCTCACTGAACAAATCGAGCGCAAACACACACAAGCAGACATCATGTGAGATTTGGACAAACACTAGAACATGCGGCTATGCCAAGTACAGTTTACTCACGCGTCTATGATGGGAATGACGTATCTGCCGCTGCCGTCTATCATGACTCCCTTTCGGTCTGGGTCATCCACCTCCAACAGGAAGCTGCGGGGAATCCCTGTGCTCCTCCGGATGCGCTTGTGCGGAGCAAAGCCGCTGCCCTGTGAATTGAGGAGTGACAGTCAAACTCTGAGCAAACAATCTGACTGATGAGGACAAGAGCTCAAGTTCACAGCAACCGTGAGCTTGGAAAACCCAGTTACCACATTAGTGGGGCAGTGCCTAATGTGGTGTCCCGGGATCCCAAGTAGCTTCATGGCCTCACTAGTGAATATCAGAACCATGAGAATCAGTTCAGACATTTCTCACAAAGCAAACCTGTCAGTGTCTGAACGCTCACCTGCTGGAGTAGTAGCACAGGCTGGACTGGTACATCACCGCTTTCAGCTTGTCCTCCTCTGACGCCTTTGCCTCAGCCAGATTCTCAGTCTGTTTCACAGGCATTTGCACATTTAAATCTTTTTCACCCTCAACCCTTCAAACACCCTCAAATCTCCCTAAGAAGCTGAGTGTGTGTATGTGTGTGTGTGTGTGTGTGTATTGTGTGCTTTACATTGCGTTTTGCTATTCTGCTATTCATTTGTTCAATACCTTCAACAACTGCTCCAGTGAGAGGAGTGAAGGATCACCTCTTGGTGAAGGTTTACCCCATCGTCCAGCTTGATGTCTGCAAAACAAAGGAGCATGTGTGACTAAAACACCAGGGACAGACCAGGAGTCTTCATATAACATCTAACAGAGGACGCTTGTGCTCATTTCACAGCACTTACCCAACAAATCTTCTGTTTGAGGACTTCAGTCCCGCCGCAGGGATCCGTCTGATGATGACCGACGTGTTTTTCGGGATGAGAGCATCATCTGTGTATTCTGACAGCAAAATAAAATCAGAATCAGCAAATAATTATTGAGCACGGTATACTTTGAGAGCCATTAGCCTTTTAAAACAGTCAAAACATCACTACGTGTCAGCATCAGCACCACCTTACAGCTTCCAGAAGTGTCTGATATAACGCATCTAATGTTAGTGTAGAACAGTTGAAGTGTCTTTTCCTCAACTCACCTTCATCAGTTTGGGCGTTGCTGATCTTCAGCTGGCAGAACTTCAGCCTCTTGCTCCTCATGATCTGCCGCTTCAGCTCTCCCGCGGTGATGTTGAGGCCTTCAAACCGGAGCGAGTCGTAGGCGAGTCGACTCTGGAACCTGTAGTGAACACAAGACATACTGAACACAAACACAAAGCACAGCGTAATAAAAAGGGTCAAACCTGAATGATGGGAACAGCAGGCGATCAATCGACGTATCCAACGATCAATAATGTCGATAATCCGGAAAAATTGTCACGAAGGACGCAGAGATCAGATGCCAATCGACACAGCGAGATTCAAACAACACCCACAGAAACGTTGTCATGGATGCTGATGATGAACACGTGACGCATGCGCTGAAGAACTTCCGGCAATATTATTATTATTATAATTATGAATAATTTTATTGATGGTAGTAGTAGTAAAATCATTGTGATAATTATAATAAAATAAACAGCAGAACAGCTGGCCATCTCTGAATAATACACAGCGACCTTTCCCTACACGAACGATTCAGGCCTTCGCAAAGAAGACTCGGGTGAGTCGATGATTCAGTGATTGATTCAACTGTCCGTTCATCCTATTCGCTTCTTTGGCTGAATGAATCGCTCAATGCTTTACTCAAATAAAGCGGCCTCTTGCTGCCACCTATTGGGGGTTTGCTTTTTTTGTTTTTAAAAGTACTGACACTTTTTAAAGGCACCTTTAAGTTCATTTTTGCACAAAAGCTCATCTCTGTGCGTTCAAAATGGTTTGAAATTTCCTTAGCACATGGTTTTAATTGATGCATTTGAAATTTTCAATGTAAATCCACTCGTACTTGCATTTGATCTTTATTATGCCTTAAAATCAAAACTATGCTAAAGATGTCTTATCCAAATCCATATTTTTATTCAAAACGTTATGACAGAACCATATTACTTTACAGTAGCCCATGGATATATATATATATATATATATATATATATATATATATATATATATATATATATATATATATATATATATATATATATATATATAAAGCATAAATACTATGTAGGCTTACTAAAGGGTTGCATGATAAATGTCATCATCGTGAGAGCTTGACTTTTTTTTTGTCGCTGCCTTTAGTTGTGGTGAAATGAGATGCATCATGTCGTTTATCTGTTTGTGCAGTCAGTACCTTTTATTTCTGAATCGTCTGGCATCGTACTTGAAGCCAAGTCATTTAGCCGAAGGCATAGTTGTCTTAGAACGAGTAGTTTGCTGATCAAATTCCACATTTTGATGAGGCAAAACAAATCTTGGATGTTTTAATTACTATTTTAGGTGAAAAACAAAATAATGAGATTTGTGTAAAATCTAAAGTTAACCAAGTCCAGCCCGCCATCTTGTCCTGCCTCTCAGTTCTCTTAAGCCTTGGGCCGACTCTGTGAAGTGGCCTCTTTTGGGCTCATCATTGAAGACCGGACGAGCTGCAACATTTCGTTCTCCCAGGTTCTGGGAGTAGATGAGCATGTCATCGGTCTAGACTATGGTCAACTTGTGAAGTTACTCATACACCTCAGCTTATGGCATATTACCATTCAAATGAAACGTTTCCAGCAGAATATGACGCTTTAAAAAAACTCCATCAGCACTGGTAACTATGAAAAACACGACTGAACACTAATGGTATACTCAACACTTTACACTGACATTCGAAGGATCACCTGACGTTAAAGACTGAAGTAAGAACGCTGGAGGAACATCAAATTTTAACACGGAAGAGTTTTTTTTTCCTCCCAAATTAAAGCAATATTTCCTAATCTTGTTGTTTTTTTTACTGTACAGTTGCCCCAGGTTTGGATCAGGTGTGATGCCTGCTCATCTGACCTTAGACCTCGGCACTCAACTGCTGCCAGTTTTCTTTCAATGCCATGAGATTTCTGAATTCTACATGCAGGAACCGATGCATTCTTTTTTTATTTTTATTTCTTTAAACAAAACAGATATGGCAGACACGGCCAAACATCGAAACTTTGGAGGACGTTGAGGAAAAAAAGCACCATATCATCAAGGGGAATAAAAGGTTTGATCAAAGCGTGCATTTACACACATTCATTTAAATATGGACAAAACCAACATTGGGTTATTTTTGTTATTAGATTTAAAACACGTGGACCCTATTTGACCCAGTGTTCATATATACATATTTTTATGAATGAATATTTTCGCATATAAAAGATAATAAAAGACTGACTAGACAGATTAGATGGATCAATAGACAGATTGACACGTGTAGTCATTCGTTCTTGTGTATTTGATGACTAGCTTCCAGTAGTATCTGGCTGCAGACTTGCATGCAATCTGAGACACAATGCACTCAATGGAGCTAGTGAGGTCACTGTGAGAGGCGGGGTTAGGGGTGCACACTCACTGACAGCCTAGATTTTAGCCTCGTTTTAACCAAGCCGTCTGTTAGACTTTTAACCCTTATGTATTGTTCAAGTGGCTGTTTTTGCCCCCAATGACCTCCATTATAACTAAACTTGTTTTAATTGCAAAGCCATGACACCAGATAGTAACTCATTCTTTATTGTTGGTGGTTTCCCTGTTGGGATGAGATAAAACTAGTCATTTTTACTTTTGATCGTCAGTTGGCACCTTTAAACACCCCCAAAAAAATGCTTGCTGGGATGGTACCACGAGGCTGTGCTCATTTCTGGACAGAGGGGGTGTAGACTTGCAGCTAGTGCCGGTAAGAGGTGCAGACGCTGAGGCTGTTCTGTATGTGAGTGTTGAGGTTTTGAAACATCAGCTGACAACGTGTAGGTAGAGAGTAGCAGGTTCTGGGAGTAGATGAGCATGTCACCGGTGTAGACTTTGACCAACTTGGGAAGTCACTCACAAGACCTCAGCTTATGGGACATTACCATTAAAATGAAACGTTTCCAGCAGAATATGACGCTTTAAAAAAAAAAACTCCATCAGCACTGGTAACTATGAAAAACACGACTGAGCACTAATAGTATACTCAACACTTTACACTGACATTTGAAGGATCACCTGACATTAAAGACTGAAGAACGCTGAAAAAACATCCGATTTTAGCACAGAAGAGGTTTTCTTTTCCTAAATTAAAGCCAAACTTCATAATATTGTGTTAATGAATTAATTAGTGTGTGTTGCACTGCTGGAGTGAAGGTTAACCAGTCCACACAGTTCATGCAGCTATAATCTTTATTATCTTTTACTAAGAAACTATGTACAATATTTACACGTTGGCTCCAGGTCTCTTGGATGAAGATCTCTCAGCGACGTGGTCTCTTCTGGTCGCCGCGCTTCTCTGGTGGAGATGGGGAGCGGGACCACCTTTATGAACCAAAATCGTTCTTTGTACCAGGCTGTAAACACCTTCTTTTCTGCTGTAAAGTTGGCCAGTTTAACAGTGGGCTCAATAGAAATTTGCTCCATATGGAGCCAGGACTGCCAGAATTTCATTGAACTGCATTTTCAGTTACTTCTGTATTTGCTTCATGACGGAGAGCGGGAGGTTGCCGTTGTTTGGGCACAAGCTGTAATATTTACTTTTCTGATCTGGAAAGATTCTCATTTGCAAAGGTTTTTGTTTGCTTCCTGGACATCCCCAGCACAAATAATTAAATGATGAGTGGGGTGTTTTAAGCTGAAATGACACACACATTTTGGGGCAGCTAATATTTTTATTATGCTTGTAACATAACCCTTTATAACTGCAATGAAATGAATGTAGTGTCAAATTTTTCTTCTGAATTAAAAGTAAAACTAGCAGAAAGTAACAAACAAATGTAGGACAGGTACTTTTTTATTCCTTTCAGTTGTTACTGGATGGCGGCAAAGCTTGAAAGCAAATTTCCAGTCCATTTTAGATAAAATAAACTGAATTATTAAAGACAGCCAGAGAGATGACTTTCATTTTCATGGCATAAATGAATGTAACTCAGCCTCTTGACTTTTCAACTCTTGTTTATTTCTCAATAGCAAAAAAATGCCAAAAACAGACACCCAAAACCCTACGCATGCTGCGCGACACAGGGGCGTGAACCTGCAGGACCCAGACGCACAGTCCACTCGAAGCTGCTGTGGGAACTAAAGGCCTGTCAACACTCCATCATGGGAGACCACGACACCTTCTCCTCCCTAAAATCCCACCCTTCACCCTTTCACCTCCCAAGACGGATAAGGAAAGAGAAAGAAAGAGAAAGGAATACCAGGAAGAGCTCGAGGAAAACGCCTCACTCGTGCCACAAAGAGATTTTTCAAGGAAGACTTCTGGTGGACGGGGCTGAAAGCGAACGGACGATGGACTCTGTCATGTCTGGCAGTAAATATGGATTCTGTATTACTTTCAAGTGAACAAGAATTACCACCTCAGTTCATCCTCATTATGCAAGCACCATGTAGAGATAAAGGATTGGAAAAGAGATAAAGGAACACAGAATGGACTGAAGAGTTATTATTAACCAACAAACCTTCCCATTCTCAGCCCCTGGAAGGGTCCGTAATGCCCCTTTTAACATTCAGAAGTCTTCAAGCGAAATCTACACTGAGTATCCATATGGTCTGGGCTCTCCCATTTAATCTCAACTCTAACACTGGAAGAAAGTCAGCACCTTAAACTTAAACTAACCCTTCAGTTATTCATCTATGAGCCACATCTACTAAATTTATAACACAAAGGAACACGGAAGCAGAACTTCATATGTTTTATTTCAGCTTTATTTATTACCTTTGTTTGAACTGGTCTCCCTTTGCGCAGCTCGTCATTCATCTATGACCCAAAAAGTATTGAAGAAAGTCAATGTTGTCTTCCCTATCCCATTTACTTCTCCCCACAGCATTGACCTCAAAGTTCAGTGTTGATGTTCACAAAACAACAGCGAGCTCTACGATGCCTTCTTAATCTTCTTTTAGCTTTGTGTAAACTACTGTTTGAGAGTCAACAAATTATTACATATATTTGCACCAATCAGACTGATCCAAAATCATTTTGCTTCATGATTAATTGCAAAATATCATTACACATTTAGTTGTCTGGATGCGGAAGTCAAACAACACCAGTCTCAATATGTGTTATTAAAAAGCAACAAAAAATATTCAAGCACCCACTAATCAACAAAGTGAATGATTGAGCACTGGGATGGCAAATATTGTGGAGATGCAGATTTTTGCCCACAAAGCCCCTGAAAAAGTGGAAAAAAACAGAAGTGCCTACTCCGTTTTTTCCGTGTTCTTTGTTTTGGGCTTGATTGAGGTCGGCTGACCATCTTAAAAGTAGCGGTTTTGAGACGATCCCGGGGTATACGGGCAATAAGCTGTGAGAATAACTTGCGGAGCGTGCTAGTAAACAGAGGAGTCGTTTCAGTTTTGTTTTATGAATGCTGTTTGTTGATGTGTATTAAAAAGAATTTTATTTCAGATTGATTTTAGTCAGTAATTTAATGGGTTACCAATACATTTATATGGTCATTTAGGGAATGAATTAGGTATCATGATAAGGTGTCACACAGCTAGAAGTCATTTGTCATGTGTCTTCAGGTCCACCTTTTTTGTGGAATAAGATCTGATCTCGTTAACACCTCTGTCAATTTTAAATAAAGCTGTGCTGTTCTGCTATGAATGAAACGTGGCTTTGGTTTCTGTGACTTTTTCAATAGCCTAGATCTAAACCTCAGACTACTGTCATTTATGAGACAACAGCATTGTTCACCTCCACCCGCGTGAAGTAATATTTACCTCTGAAAACACAAGCCATAACCACACCAAACTAAATGCAAGTTGCAAACAGCAATTCACAGGGTTTACTTTACATTGGGGTTCATGTTTAAAACACTTTCAGACATTTAAACAAAAATAAATATCAATTAATATTTAGCAATCTTTAATTAATAATAAGCAATATCTGTGATTGTTAGAGATTTGTACAGCACAGAAATTTTTTAATGACAAATAATTAAAGCAGTTCGGATGTAGTGTTGTTTGAAAGAAGACATCTAATATATAATAAAAATGATGTATTAATTATTTAATTTATACATTGAACATCATATGAGGTATTAAAGCGCCCCCTAGTGCCGATTTCTTCCAAATTTAACAACAATTAATATTTTAACTACTGTGATGGTTAGGATTGGGGTGGGGGTAGGCATTACAAAATGCAATGTATTGGGTAATTTAATAGATAGCATAAATTATACTCGGTACAACTACAGTGCTGTGACGGTTGGGTTTAGGGTTGGGGTTGGTGTAAATGTTAATAAAATACAATAAATGGGAAATTTAATAAATAATACAAATAATTCTTGTTAACTTTCAGCCATATCCAATCTAGCAACAACAACCCTTTAGGGCATGAGGTGTCCAAACAAACCCAGTCCAAGAGGACCACCTATGTAAGCCTACACCTGTCTAGAGTGGACACCTTAAACCCCAATAACGCTCTGGTAAGCCTAATAACGCTTTAATTAGTCGGTTTAAGTGTGTTAACGTAGGATAGGAGCTAAAATTCCATCTTTCGGATGAGACGTTAAACCGAGGTCCCGACTCTCTGTGGTCGTTAAAAATTCCAGGATGTCCTTCGAAAAGAGTAGGGGTTTAACCCCGGCATCCTGGCCAAATCTGCCCACTGGCCTCTGTCAATCATGGCCTCCTAACCATCTCCATATTCAATTTGCTTCATCACTGTCTCCTCTCCACCAATCAGCTGGTGTGCGGTCTGGTGCAAAATGGCTGCCGTCGCGTCATCCAGGTGGATGCTGCACACTGGTGGTGGATGAGGACATCCCCCCCATTGTGTAAAGTGCTTTGAGTGCCCAGAATAGCGCTATATAAATGTAAGGAATTATTATTATTATTATTAAAATAAGCCGGACCGAGAAAATCTTTTAGGTAATTTATTCCTCTAAGTTATTAACATGGTCCCACTGGTGCATTTGTTCCTTACACATACAAAACCTTTTTGAAGTTCTCCCATGCAGGCAATTGTGCTAAGACTGTGATCTATTCCCTGCAACATCAGGCCACAATCAGGTGTCCACAATCAGGTGGTTTGTCTTGGTCTGGCATCTCAGCTGAGACCTGTCCACTATGGGTGACCCTGCCAGTACTTGTGAAGTACCAGTGGTGAAGCTCTCAGCATCACTGATGCACAGAAGCCCTCACAGCACGTCAAGCTGCAAACCATGTGAGGGACCCTAACCTAACCTACCCTATACTAACCTATCACTGACCGACCAACACTCAGAGGAGTCCAGCAACTGACCAGCAACACCGAGAGACCGCTCAGAAAACCCTGCAAAGCGCATGTCAAAAACACAGAAAACTTTCCAAAACAACCTGACAACCAGAACCCAAGAGCCACATCAGCAACCATCAAAACATTCAGCAGAGTGATAAAAACTTTGAATGAAAAGAAAACTTAATGTAAAGACTTCTATAACTATATACAGTATGTACATACGTGCCCTTGATCTTTCATGGGACACTATGATGGCTCAGTGTCTGGGCTTCTTTCTTCGGGGTTCCTCCTCGGGTAGTGGCTCTCCACTGATGTCCACGTGGATTTGAGGAGCGCTGCTGCTTCCGCTGGACCTGCTCTCCGTGATCAAGACTCGTCCATCAGGCAGCTCGGTCTCCAGCAGCGTAGGCCGGTGGAGCTTCTCCCACAGCCGTTGCTTGATCCCCAGGCCTCGCTTGAAGCGGTAGCGGCTGCAGCCGGTCTCCACGACGGAGCGAAAGATGTGCTGATAGTCCTGCACGCTTCTGCCGTGGATGGAGAGCTGCTGCTCCTGCTGACACTCGTTCACTGAGGAAGACACTGATGCTGCTGCTGCTGCTGCGGGACGGAGGACAGGGAGGGCCGCCGCGTTCACCAGGTGTCGCTTCTTCAGCGCTGGGTCAGAGATGCAGCTGTAGGTGTGATCTGACCTGACCGCCGCTGCGAGCTGCTCAACGGTAGAGACGCCCTGTAGCCAGAAGTGACTCGTGTGTGCGGGGAGAGCCCTGGTTCTTCTTGAGCGACGCTGCTCCATCAAGATGACCCAAGAACAACTTTCCAAAGCAGAGAAACTGATCAAACTTTTCAAAAGTTGTCGAGAGTTTGTTGCGAGACGATCGGGTCAGAACCAGCTGTGTATATTAAAGATCAACTCAAGTTGCTGTAGTGACAGAATGACGAGCCTCATTTAAATGTAAACAATATTTAATATCAGCAGTGAATTAATGAAATCAGCACGAACTCTGTGCTTTTATAATTGAGTTTTTATTAAATGCAGTAGCTAAATATCTAAATTATGATTATTCAATAAAATGCTGGTCTTATATTAATAAAAAAATAAAAAAATAAGCATAAATGGGCGTTTTTTATAGGACGAATGTTGACCACTGAAAATCGTCACAGGTTTCAGAAATCTGGTCATGTTAGTGAATATTACCATTTATTTTTGGTTGCTTTTGGGATGGTTTGCGTTTCATTAAAAAAAAAAAAAACACTGAACTAATATTCTCGTTTCTATATTTGCTTCATAATTAACTAGGCCTATATCAGACCAACCGGGACTTTAGCAATGACATTGTTCTTTTGATGCTTTGTATACTTAAATTTTCATAATTTTCCTGCACTGACTGGGTGATTTAATATTTTTATAGTATTATTAAAATTATTAATCATAATAATGCTATAAGCAATACAATAAACCAAAATGCATTCCAAAAAAATAAAAATCAAAAATCAAAAATATAAACCAGTATCAGATACAACGACAACCAGCATTAATAAGATTAAAAAAGCTAAATATACTACAGTTTATTTTGATTAGCTATTAGCTTATTAGGTCAGGGAAGTGCTAATCATTCATTCTGAGTGAAGGTTTTTATTTATCATTATTAAAATAGCTTTAAGAAACTTAAAACAACCATGCCAAATAAATAGTAAATATGCGTGCCCCTAAACATATTGGTTTATTTGACTATGGCAATTTTATATATTTACATTTTATTTAATGGTTCACTTTTAGGCTATCACAAAATATTAACCACTTTCATTGACCAATGTGCTCTCCAACAAATAAACAGAAAGGGAAACAGAAACTAAATAGTAAAAAATGTATTTGAAAACATAAAAGTCTTTAATCTAGACCAAAAGGGTGGCATTGCCCCCTCAGAAAGAGTTTGTGATTGTTTACTCAAACTGAAAAATCTTCCTGTCATTAACTATTAACACTCCCGTCGTCCCAACCGTCAGAACACACATCTAAATATTTTAAAATATATGACATAGCAATTGAATTATGATAATTGGTGAGATTAAAGCTAGTCCTATAGTCCAGAGATCCGGTCCCCGCGTCAGGTCTGGTGCGCCCGTAAATAGCCTTTAAAACGCGCGCACGGCGATGGAGGCGCACTCAACTCACAAGGGAGAAAATGGGTGACATGATAGGAGCAGCTTAATTCATTACATGTTTTGGTTAACTAATTATTTAAACACAACTCTCTTGAGCTCTAAAAGGAAAAAACACAAGAAATTTACTGTTAAATTAATTTTAGCAGAGACGCAACTGCCAGTCATTTATTAGTTATTCGGGAAGATGTAGCCTAATAAAATTTTTTTAATAAAAATAAATAGTTTACTGCACAGTCCCACAGTAGGCTACACTATAAATAATATTTTAAATGTATTTATTAATCTTATTATTAATATTATTGCAATTAAGCTAAAATTGACAAAACGCAGAACCCTTTGAAAGTTTGCTTTCATTTAGCTAAAAAGCGCACTTTTACAGTTGTGTAGAGAAACATTCCATTATGCAGCAGCAGTCAAGGTATAACTCATAATAAATGCTTTTTGGGTTTAAAGATGATCGGCCTGCGAAGTCAAGTTTGCAGTGTTATAAACAGTGGCGCAAAAAGGGGGTATGCAGTATATGCGGCGCATAGGGGCGCCACACATGGGGGGGGGGGGGGGGGGGGGGGGCGCCATTGTGCCAAAACTATTTTTGAAATTATCCATATTAAAAGTTTCAAATAATATATATATATATTTGTTAAAAAATTTTATTTAGCATTTTATACGCGTATAATATTGTATTTTATTAAATAAAAAAATCATTCCACCCCCCCACCCCCATTTTTCATACCATATACATGTTTTTATGAATTTATTATGTATCATATTGATTCATCCAGCCTTTTGGTAACTTCTTAGCTCAACACTATTTTAATTTTAGCTACAAACAAAGTTATAACGTTTCAATTAAATAGAACATTTGTTCGTTTCTGTTTTTTTTTTTTTTTTGTTACACTAAACATTTGACAGTCTTTTTTATTTAACTTTTAGCAGTTTCAGTCAATTGTTCTTGCAAAGACAGACCTTACACTTCTCACAGTATGCATGTGAGAAGTAATTGCAATGTTCTTTTGCCCTTTAGGACTCCCATGTCTATCATTTTGTTTTGACAAATGTAGTACAAAAAGTCCAAAAGCAAGGCTAGTCAAGGTGATATAATCATTTAGTGAGGGAAAATTAAATTGAGAAGAAATTTGGGGTGGTAAGAGATGCATTTCTTTGCGACTTAACATGCTTAATGTAATTATACCTTTTACTACTTCATACTATTTCAGTTGTGTTCAGAA